AATATATTAAGTTCTTCAAAAAATTAAGAAAAAAATTTTTTTTCTGTAAATTTTATGTAAAAATGCGACCCCAGTCAAAATCAATTTTGTCACTTTTTTCTTCGAGGGTTTTTCCAAATGGATTGAAACTTTGCATAAATTTTCTAGTGCTCAAAACAAATACAAATAACACATTCTAAAATTTTTTTGAGCAAAGAACCAAGTAGGAAATACATTTTCAATTTTGGACTAGGGGCGACCCTAGTCAAAATTAATTTTGTCACTTTTTTTTCGAAGGTTTATACAAATGGATTGAAACTTTGCATAAATTTTCTAGTGCTCAAAACAAATACAAATAACACATTCTAAAATTTTTTTGAGCAAAGAACCAAGAAGGAAATACATTTTCAATTTTGTACTAGGGGCGACCCTAGTCAAAATCTAGTTTTTCACTTTTTTCTTCGAAGGTTTATCCAATTACAGTGAAACTTTGTGTGAGTATACTAATATTTATACAAAACAGTTTTAAATATCTAAAGCAAGAAATTTTTCTATATGTCGTCAGACCTAAATTTTATAAATTTGGTTGTACATTCAAAAACAACGTGACTTAAACTTTTGTCCAAAAAAATGATTTTTATTAATTCAGAAATGTGTGACCTGAGGATTAGAATGCTCATACAAAGTTTTACTGTATTTGGATTTATCCTCGTAGGGAAAAAAGTGAAAAACGAGATTTTGACTAGATTTGTCCCAAGTTCATAATTAAAAATGTATTTCCTACTTGGTTCTTTGGTCAAAAAAAATTTTAAAATGTTTTATTTGAATTGACATAATTCTGACATAAATCACATACCAATATTACTTTTTGTAATGCATAGCTTAAAAAAAATCGAAATTTAAAATTTCGACTACCCCATCTGAATTTTGTTCATGCTCTTCACTGTGGAAACCAAAAAACAAATTCTTTATCTTAAAACACTTGACAAAATAGCGACATAATTCAGGATTAATTACTTTTTAATAATATTTTAACATTTACGAGAAAATGTGGTTCAAATAAGTGTGAAGTATTGCCGAGATTTGGACCAAAATCAGCTATACTGGTTCATAGTGTTCCCGAGGGTGACAAAATTCAAACTAAGTGTTTTTGTAGCTGACATAATTATGACATAAATTAGGTATATCTTTTGAACTGTGTCGATATGGGTCTCGGCTGTACTTCACGCCCACCCTTCAAACTTATGCTGAGCAAATCTTGGTCTATCCATAAGACTTTTGATGGTACGGTGTGAATATATCCGCATTGGGTTTCTACCCGATACACTAGTTTTACTCCCCTTTTTCGATGTATGAATGGAATTTATGTTACGACCCTTATTACATACTGTGATCCTTGATTCACTCAGCTTTGCCTTTTCTCCATTTTTCATCATTTCGAGTATCAATAAAGATTTGATTAAGTGCTAAAAGACATTGATTGCATAAAGAAATTGCTTTCTTACTCGATTTATGATTATTATATGATTCAGTTGTTTGTATTTGTAAGCATTGTTACCTTTAAAGGTTGAAACTTTTATTTTCTGCTGCTGTTGCTCAAAGAGAAAGTTTTTGCGGCTAAAAGTTGTGTTGTTGTTTAAGGTTGGTATGGCATGCTCGGTGTTATGAATGCTAATGTGATTTGTGAATGAAAATTGTGTGATGTTTTGGAATTTATGAGTTAAGTTTTGAATAATTAGAAGCATGTGGAATATGAATTTGATTTTATAGAGGTAGGCACATGATTTTCAACAGGAATTTCAATGCCTTTTTCTCAATGTTTCTTGGATACGTTTCTAGACAACTACTTGAGTTGATTTCTAGGGCTATCCGGGGTACCCAAGAATTGAAATCACATTCAATCTGCTACTGTATGAGTATAAATAAAACTAATCCAAAACAAGGGTAGACTAGGTAAGGTTTTAAACTTAATTCTTTGGTTCTTGTTACTCGATACAAAAAGTTTGTTTCAGTGAATGAAAAATCGAGACTGAAATATTAATGTAAAGAAAACCGCAAGAAAAGAAAATTTTATCTTTTTTCTTGTTGCCGAAAGTACTGTAAAAAATCAAATAAAAGTAGGCAGAAAAAGATATAACTACATTTAGCCCGTACTGCATTCAACATGACTTTAAACTTACCTCGCATGTCACTTACGAGTGTATAAACTCAAAGACATAGTTGTGGTCTATTTTTTCATTGCTGGTCTGCTTTCATAAAAGTCTAAAAAGTGTATGGCAAGCCGATATCATCCTGTGTATCAAGATACAAATAAAGACAGAAAGAAAGAGAAAGGTAAGAAAACTTTTTCATTTCCAAAGTTGAACTATGTAATCTCTCAAAAAAAAAAGAACAGGATGAAATATCCTCGAGATTCCTTTACTTTACCGACAAAAAACAAAAAGAGTACGCAACCAAAAAGCAGCAAAAAAGTGGATTCACTGTAATGAAAAATTAATGAGAAAAACATTTTTGGCGTCACAACCCGAGATTTATTTTCCGCTTCTTTTTTGCAGCATACCAGCTAAGATATCCCCTCTTTTGTTAATGTGTTTATTTGAGGATGGCGTTGGATTTTTCACCAAAAGGAATTTCATTTCTTTTTTTCTCATTCTGCTCTCAGAACACTCTGCACTGAATTCTTCTTAGAAAATTGAATCTAATTCAATTTCATGCCTTGCGGACTTTTTCTTTCTCTTTCATTCTTTTGTTTTTGCTAGTTTACCTTTGCTGCTATTGCTACTTTGTAGATTAAATCTATTATCATTTTCACTTTATCCTTCTCTATTTCTCCATTTGTATTTATCATTTTTTAAAAGTACATTATTTTCTCTTTTGTTCTGTCTTTTGCCTTTCACACTGCAGAGGATTATTATGAGTGAAGAAAATTATCAATCATTCACATTATTAATCTTTTTGGGAGATCCTGAAGAATGTGTTTGATCGAAAATTAAATAGTTGAATATGGAAAACAGGAATTAAAGTAAATGATCAAATCTTGTTTTATTAGCTTAACCATACATTCCTTGTAAAATCGAAAAATATGAAAAAGATGTTGAAATGATCTAAAATTGCAAAATTTATCAAAGATTCTAAAAGATTTCTAAAAATGTTGATTACCCATTGGAAGGTCTCTAAAGACACATCAAAGAACTTCCACGCTGTAACAGTTTGAGCTTTTTGTGCACGAATCATAATCAAAATAATTGAACGTTGTGTCTTTACACTCGAGTTATACCATTGTGAGTTGTAAGCTGATGTAGCTATTGATGTTGATGAGCTATTAAGATTTAAAAATAAGTTTAAATGTCAAACATCAAGCATTAATTATTTAACACCTACTCAATTAATCGCTGTGCAAAAAAGCACTGAACAAATATCTGAAGAGAAACAGCCATGGGAAATAGAAAATATTTCGCAATAAAGAAGCCACTGATTTTTGTCTGAAAATGAATTTTTTAAGGAACATTTTCAAAAATAAAAGAACTAAAATTTTGTTACAACAGAAAGAAAACTTGTAGAACATAATCCAGCTATAGATGCAAATGCATTGATAAGGATCAAGGGCGAGAAAATTTCGTTCAATTTTTCTGACACTTCAATCAATTCCTGATGAATATTCACAAGCTTTTTGAGGTCCATTAAAACTTCCTCTTGATTGTTGTTAAAGTCAATCTCTTTTATCATTTGTCCTAGAATTTCAAACTCCATCGAAAGTATCTGAACCATGTTGGCATATAACAAATCAGAACCAAGAATATAATACACGGAAAAAATGATGAACCAAGCTTCGACTATGTAAATCAATTCAAATACAACTGGCCTGAGCTGATTAAATCCTAAGTTAAATGCCAAAATTGTCTCCCATTCTAAATCGATTGACTTATAAGCTGCATAAATTTGAAACACAAATGGCATCGAACAGAATTGAGGAATCAAAGTATAATAAGCAATATTGTAGATAATATACATCTTATGCAGGACGTGAAAGTTACTGGAAACATTGTACACAAACTGATTAGCATGTGAATGTGGAAAATGCTCATTTAGTTTTTCTATCACTTCAAAAATTTTCCCCAAGTTCTTATGAAAAACCATATAAACTTTAAACAATGAAGTAGTGAAAGATCCTAAAACCAAGATATTTTCGAGCACCACATACACAAATCCACCGCGAATCGATTGGAAAATTGAGATCAAAAGCAGAACCAGTAATATAAAGTTTGTAACTTGATTTAAAACTCCATTAATTTTCGTCAATCTGTTGGGTGGATGTTTCGGGTTCAATAAAAATGTGTGACCCAATACATTAAGTAACTTCTCACAAAAGAAGAAATGTTGAAACGAATAGTAGATAACAACTGGCTGTCTCCTTAGTTTGAAAAACTTTAAAAAATTTTGAAAATTTTTTGAAACATTTTTTCTAAAGTTTTCCATTTTTTAATTCAATTCCTTTTTGCTGGATCTCTGGCGAAACAATGAATAAGAATACGTCCTTAAATCCTTGTCATAGTTTTTTGATAATTAATAATTAATAATTATGCCATTGTTTTAATTGTTCTTCTTTAAGAATGTGCAGCAGACGGGACATTAGTTGATTACTAAATTTTTGAAAAATTCATACTCATTACTCCGTATTGAAGAAAGTTACGGACCTAGATATTTAATTATCCTAGATATAGTAGGGTTTTCAATCCCGGGGTTAAAATGTATTTTTAAATTTAAAAAATGAAATAAAACTTTCAGGAATTTCAAACTGTTTGCTTAACTTGATAACCAATGAAAATTTTATAAAAAGAACTTGAAGCTTCTTGACTTAAGTATTCAATATAAATAATTGAGTAGGAAGATTGTATCTGGGGTTCATTTTTAGATCGAATAAAATGTACTTCAAATATTCCATAGTAAAGTTGATTCTCAGAATTCTTCACTTCATTCAGTGGATAAAATCAAGTAAAATAAGAAATCAATATCTTTAATATAAAAACCAATTTTTTTTATTAATTATTTTAGATAAAAATTTAAACAATAAAAAATAAAAAAATTTGTTACATTTTACGACGTTGAAACGAAGAACTTTTAATGAATACAGCATGAATCTTTGTTTGATAGTTTTAAATTTAAATTATGGTTCGTTCGTTAGATTACTTTGAAAGGGGAAGAGGGAGAGGGATTTATTTTCATGAAAAACATTTAATAAAAGAAGGGGTGTTGAAAAACATTTTCTTACGAAACGTAATAAGTGAATTGTCCCTTAATAAATTAACATTTGCAAACAAAGATAGATTCAATAAAAAGCACGGCTTATTTTTTGAAAATATAATTGTGTATACTTGAATCGAAATTTATTCCATTCTTTTAATTTTATAGCTTGAAATTTATTTTCTTTTTTGCTTACCCAATGTTTTTAGATTTATGCTGTTTTCATCAATTCCTCTTAAATTAAACACTTGCGTTGATTAGTTTTTATTAAAAAAATTCCTTTAATTGATTAATCACAAGTTTTTTTTCTCGATTTTTTCTTTTTCTTCATTTAATTTCGTTGGCAATTAGGTTAATTTTTTTTACCTACATTATAATTAAAAGTTTTTTATCATTTTAAATTGAAGTTTATAATTAATTGAAGAAAAATGTGTAAAAATTCATATGTATAACAGAGGTATTATGTAAATATTTAGTTATAAATTGATAGCTATTTTATACTGAACAGAAAAAAATTGAAATAAGTATAAAGCCACTAAGATAATCTCTCAGAAAGTTAAATTTGTACGCATTTTTTTAGATTTGAGATTTTTTTTCGAAAGATTTGAGCTAGCTTTTATGAAATATCAATTGGAAATCTTCAATTTAGTTCATTATGAATTTCCTTTGGAATCATTTTCCAAAATTCTGCCATTTTAAAGACCCCTCAAAAGTTATTGATCACTGTAAAAAGCTACGAGTAAAAATGCGCTTTTGTCACTGAATTAATGTCGGATTGTAACGAAAACTTAATGAAATAAAAATAAAAATTAATTTCATTTAAAGTTCATCTTTGCTAGTATTGGTATCTAAAAATTCTATAATTGCTTCACTCGTTCGTTCCTTATTGTAATCCCTGAAGAATTGGCCATTTTTAAAGTATTTCACGGTCGGATATCCTTCAATTTTAAACTTTTTACAAATATTTTGTGCTGAACTGCAGTCGATTGCGGCTAGAATTGATAATGACTTGTTGTTTTCGACGAGCATGTCTGCAGCCTTACTATAAATAGGTTTAAGTTGTTTACAATATCCACACCATTCAGTAAAGAAGAAAACCATAACTGAATTTTGCTTCTTAAGTGTGCTCTCGAATGTCTTATCAGTCAAAATAATGACATTATCGCTTGTAAATGGAACAATTTCGACTTTAGGCTTTTCGTTAACTTCTTTCTCCGGGTCGTGCATAAATTTAATAAAATCGTCTGCTGTTCTCCCGCCTACATAGTCTTTATGTGTTTTCAGATAACTAAAGTATTTTAACGTTGGATATCCTTTAACATCATATACCGAACATATTCCTGAATATTTTGTACAGTCTACAGCTGCAAATTCAATCTTTTGATCTTCCTTAAATTCCTCTGCTGCCTTCGTGAATTCTGGTTTTGTTTTTTTACAATGATAACACCAGGGAGCAAAAAAGAATAGCAGCACATGCTTCTTCTTTTTCATAAATGGCTTAAATGTCTCATCGGTAAGGAATACAACGTCGGTTTCTTCATCTTCCCATGCGACTTCCTTCTCAACTTCAACAATTGGTGGTTCATCTGGATTCTCCATGAATTTTACAATTGTATCGGCGTCTCGTAAGCTCACATCATATTTAAATTCTCCGAATTCAAAATATTTTAATGTTGGATATCCCTTAACGCCGTACTTACTTGCCACGTCATTCTCTCGTGAAGCATCGATTGCCGCAAGCATTCCTGAGACACTTTTATCCTTCATTTTAACAGCAGCCGCTTCAAATTTTGGTTTGAGTGTCTTACAATGTCCACACCAATTTGCATGAAACATAACAATAGCAGACTTTTCCTCTTTTAATATTATTTCAAAATTTTTGGATGTTAAATGAACTATTTCAGAATTTGGATCTGATGCCCATTCCTCTTCCTTTTGCTTAATGGGAGGAGATGAGGGATTATTAAGGAATGTAAGAATTCCGTCTTTTGTATTATCACCGTCGAATGTGTATTTGGGCACGTTGTTCTCAAAATAGAGGAGTGTTGGAAAGCCGGTGATATTGAAACGTCTACGTGCTTGATTATTTTCAGGCTTTTCCATATCCATTGCTGCCAGAACATGCTTTCCTTTCATCTCCGATGCAATTTCTGAGTAGAACGGTTTAATCTTTTTACAAAATCCACACCAGTTTGTGTAGAAGAGCAAGAGAAATTTTGATGATTTGCGCATGAGTTTGTCGAGATGCTGTGATATTTGGATAGAGAAAGAGAGGAGGACAAAAATTTATGAGAGTGAAATAACTAGTAATTTTTGAAATAAGAGAGAGACTCGATATTATGATGATAAATTTATGAGCAATTATTTGAAACCAAAATTATTCTTATATTTACACAGTAACGTGTCAATTTTAATTCTACTGATGTGTACTTACCGACATGTTTAACAGGTGCACCACATCTTTCCCCGTTGAATCCTCTTCGAATGGAATTTCACCCGTTGGATCTCGAAGAAAGTTTTGAATTGAATTTTTCGTCATTTGCCGGTCGTAGTCTTTATTGAATTGTCCATCTTTGTAGTGCTTTAATACAAATTTCTCGCCTTCTGGTAAAGCTTTCTTGCATGGACCCTTTTTCAACTCATTACTTGTACAGTCTACAAAAGCCACAACTCCATCAACAGATTTTAAAACATTCCTAGCATTCGTAACTTCCGGATTTTTTGCATTTGTATACAGCACCAAAAGATTTGTTTTTGTGGCTATTGTTTTCTTTAAATCTTTCGGTTTGTCTATTTCTATTACAACTGAGAACGTTTCATGAATGCTAAGTACAAAAAGGAACACTAAAATTCTTATTGCAGCTATCCAGTTCATTTTAAAATTACTTAAAATTAATTTTTTTCAACTTTTTATCTTTTCTTACTGATAATGTTTCTAGAGAGAATTTCAAATAGGAAATAATATGTGTAAAAAAAATCTTTTGTTATTGAACTCACTCTTAATATTTATGTCCACAGGAAAATTACTCACTTGTCAACAATCAACCTGTTGATTCAATGTTTCTGAATATCCTTGAGAATTATTCATGTCAATTATTTGAAATTCAAATGTGTTGATGTTTTATGTGCTAAGGGAGAATAAACTCAATTGTGGTTTCAGATGAAAGTAGATTCTATTATGGAAATGGAAATTTAAACATCATTGGATATTTATGAGGATTATTAGGTTTCTTGATAATGGAATTTCACCTATACATTGTCACAATGCATAACAGAAGCTCATAACAATTTGACAGATTACTTGAATCCTTTACATCACTTGATTGACTTCTGTTGATCTTATTCTTAGGTGGTGGATTTTCTACATATGTTTACAGGGATGCAGTTAGACATATTTAATGTAGTTTTCAGTTCATAGATCTTCCAATATGACGTCAATTTTTGATCGAAGCAAAACTTCGTATGAAACCTCTTCCTTATTAAAGCGCCACTGCATGTTAACTTGAAGAATAACAATATTATGACATAAACAATTTAAAAAGGCATAAAAATGTCAATCATGTAGTTCGATTTATTATCTCATACTAACGAGCTTTTATAAGAATCTAGTTGATATAAAATATGTGTTTATATCTCTTGAACTATTTGTTTCCAGCGTATTTATCATAGAACTAAATGCCCATAAGTGCCATCATTTTATTTCTCACTGCTCCATTATTCCCTTTTTTTCCTCATCGAGCACAAGAAAGGGAAAAAAATCAAGAAAAAAAAATACAAACAGAACATTTTCCAAATGTGGCAATAAAAAATTATTGGACCGAAAATTTTATGTTTTCATATGTTCAGTTATGTATGAATATTTTGGATGAGGATAATAGTTTCTTTTTCTCTTGCTCGAAAAAAGATTTCCTTTTGTCATATATCCGAAAAAAACAAAATTTTCAGCAGTAAATGTGCGTCGAAAAATAAAATCATATGAATGTCCAAACGCCAAACATCCTAACATGTATGGCTTTTTTTTATTGTTTTCATGCATTTTCAACCGCTTGTAGTCATATAATTTTAATTTCGGTCTATGTGAATGCTTTTGCTGGTAATTTTGATATAGGGCCTTTATGAATTCTAATGATTGACTTGATTTGAAGCCAAAATTATTTTCATTTCTTTTTTTTAAAGAAAATTGAAACTATTTTGTTTTTTAAGTTTGGTTTGTTGGGATTTGCAACATTTTTAATGAATTGACAAATTTGGGACTTTAAAATGTGCGAAATTGTTTGAATTTGAGGAAGTCTTGACTTTTATAACCTGTAACCGACATACTGTGCAGTTCTTTTGTGATTACTCCCAGGAATAATCAAAATCCAACTAAAGCTCATGGGAACATACTAATATATAATTTTTTTAAATGCAGATCAGCAGTAATGATATTCATTTAATTTATTATGAACAAAGAATCAACAATTTACGTCTGATTCAGCAAAAGGTAAAAAAAGTAAGAACATAAATATTTTTTCCTTTGTGCTTAAATCACATTGATCTCTCCCCAGAGAGAAATTAAGATAAATTTTTATTATTTTTATAATTGAATAACTTCATTCGCCATTCATTGACCGAAAATTTTCACATTAATCCCATAGAACCCTATTTTAATCTCATAATTATCTAATAATAAGCTTCATAATACCAATTAATTGTGAGTTCATATTCACAGACAAAAGAGATTATAACACACAGAAAAAGGTCAGATTCCAGAGAGTGAAAGGATGAAGTTCAACAAACACATATCGCTCATAACATTGAGCAATAAAGAACGAAAGAAAAAAATGAAATCCTTCACGATTGATTGGTTTACATACAAAATAAATCTGTTCATCGTTCGTATAATTTTATGACAAAAGAAATAAAAGCATGAGAAGGAGAAGAATTCCATCAAATTACAAACATTTCAAGCTCATTCTGCATGTTTGTGTACATTATGTTGATGTGAATTTATCCCACAAATCGAGTGAAGAATTTGCTTGATGTACACAATAACCTTAATGTAATCAGAATTCCTTTCGAATTCTTTGGTGCTCATAAAAATATTATGTTCAGAATGACATCAATTGCTTCCGTTTTTAACGTATTTTGTTGTTGGGTATGGGCATGAATATTGAGGAAGTTGGTTAAGATTTAATGGCAGTTTTAGATGGTTTTATGACAGCACAAAAATATCTAATTTTGCCAATTATTTTTCAAAGTGATCACCTCCAACTCTGATCATACTTACCAACATAAAACGTGTTTAACACAAAAACTGTTATTTAAATCTTCTTATTCATGTATGTACATTTCGTCAACGTCATATAATAGATGCTTGGTCATTTGTACGTGCACACATTTTTGCTGACTCTTCGACTTTATGCTAAAAAGTTACTCGAGAACATTTATACCATACAACTGCATTACAACCAGACATGCATTACAATGAAATCACATTTTTGGCGTGGATGTTTGTAACGAGACTTTTTTTTTGTAGATGCTTCATGCTCTAAAATTTCGCACGAAATAAATTTTGAGGTTTTATGTTGAGTAGTGTTTGAAAGCATATCAGTTGAAGTTCATAAAGCGCATACTGACAATTTCAAATGTTTACCTCAGTAGCGGCTTATATACATAGAGTTGGATCTTGCTCTTTCCTCAGGAGGCTGTGCTAAACTTTTCAACCAGATACTTTAAGTTTTGTTCATGTATTTCTGTAACTCAGTCAAACTGACTGCAACTTAATGAATGTACGAGATCAAGCCATAATTGGGCACTTTGGGCAACGTTGGATTAAGGAACGGATCAGGAACTTGACGTGTAGCGGGAGAAATAGGAACGAGAGCTACAAGATTACCTTATAATGGAATATTGTCAGAACGGACCTGAAATGTATCACGTTACGCCCACAGAAGTTTGAAACGAGAGCCTGAATTTAATCGAAACCTAGATTTGAAGATTAGAAGCTTGATTCTACGTCACCCATAGTGATATGAAATGTATCACTAATCAATGTAAAAAGTAAAACATGTATAAATACTAATTCTTCCGGACGGTAACGTCGACAAATAAATAATAATAATAATAATAATAACTTTAGTATTGTTGCATAAATTTTCCAGTAAACTGTAAATTGATCCATCTGTATACTGAGCAAATCCTTAGCATTCTTGATTATTACCTTCCTTAAATAATCTTCAAGTAAACAGTCAAAAATAGCAGCATCTTATGAAATTTCATTCAACAAGTCAAACCAACCCAACATGCTCAATGTCTTAGAGAAACAAGCACAAATAAAAATATCAATGTGTCTGTTTTCACGTTGTTTGTGGTCAATTTTCCGTTTAATTGTCATGCATTGTTTTGTTAACACATGAAATGATAATAATGATGCACAGAAAGAGAGAACAAAAAAGCTTTGAGGAAAAAAATGAAACAATTTTTGAAACAAAAGGAAATAAACAATTGAGCTTCAGCAATAGTTGAATGAGCATAAGCCGCATGGTGGCCGATACAAATTTTATGGCATTTTTTTCTGATTCACAGATTTTCACTTCATTTCAATATTTATCATATTTTATACATCCAATTTGATTTAGTTGTGTGATATGTCATGAAATAAAATATTTGTGCATTGTTGCAAATAAATCTGCATTGTATGTTTGAACAGTGAATAATGAATGATGTTGATAATAGGTTTGAACTTTGAAAAGATTCAATTAAAATGATTATCATGCATTTGCGTAGACAATTGTTTATAAATTATCAGTAATTGTGCTACACAATCATTATTTTGTGGAAAATTTATTTTCATTCATGCTTGATTTTGTGTTAATTTATAGATTTTGAGGGTTTCAGTTGTTCTATTTGTATAATTCTGATATGAATTGAATCTGTTATTTTTGAATGAAGCAGTAGCATTGGTTTCACATTTTAATTACATAAATTTTTCATTTGTTAATGTTGTGTTGATGATGATAATTAATATTTATAATCGAAATGTGGATTAAATGTTTATCTAGTTGCAAATTGAGTAGAGTGTAAATTATGAGTTTCATATCCAATTTGAATGATCATAATTAATCATTACTAATCAACAGGAAGCCTAAATAAAGTCGAGTAATTTTCAGAACTTTTTAAAGTTTTTATGACACTCTAATTTAGGAAGTCCCATATTTGAATAGGTGTTTTATTCCTTAAAACTTCTTTTCAAATTGATTCCTTGTTAAAATACTCGTTAAGCTTATTTATGTCATAAATTAACATTTGCTTCAAAAATTAACTTAAAAATAAAGAGTAATAAATGTCATTTTAAACATCAGAATTATTCTGGTTCAGAGATCCAAACCTTGACTTGCTTCACATACGTAAATTGTCCAATAAATTGAAAATTCAGAATTTTAGAAAAACCAAACAATTTTGTGAAAAACTTCATTGGCTTGTAGAGATATTTCCATTTTATTAAAACTATCCCTATAGCTTGAAACCTCGTCATGTCGTTTGATTCAAAATGTATTTTTTACAAGCGCCATTCAGAGATAAATAATACTTATTGTACAGGAGCACTTCAATGGAATAAATGAATAAAAAACACGACTTACGTAGAAAGTCACTAGCTTCCGCATTTGACTTATGTTAGATTACTATTCTTTTATATATATCACAAAACTAAAATTAGTGTATCGGGTAAACCCAATGTGGATATATTCGCACCGTACCATCAAAAGTCTTATGGATAGACCAAGGTTTGCTTAGCATAAGTTTGTAAGTATAAAGTTTGGTAAGTTTGAAAGTATAAAACCAGCGAGTCAGCTGAGCTTCGCTGAGCGGAAAACTATACAGCTCTTCTATCCCTAGTAACCAAAAGGTAGATCAATGTATTCCATGAGAATCTTCCATGGATGATACATATGTATTATCCATGTATTATCCATTGGAAGATGATGTCCTATGAAAATGGAAGATAAATGGACAATGCAATA